AGGAGTGGCTGGTGGGTTTGAACTGCCAGCCTTCTGGGTAGCAGTCAAGTGCCTTAGGCACTACGCTACCAGAGCTCCTATCTGTAGAGATACCACCTCTGAAACCCAAGGAGGGGTCACTGTGAGTTGGATCTGACTCGATGGCAGTGAGTTTGGTTTTGTTAAATTTAGGAAATGGGAACGTAGAGCATTTTACAGTTTCTTAAACACATTAAACCGTTTTATCCTGTGGTAGGCCATGTGATAGTTATAACCTGAGGTCTAGTTGGCCCACTGACTCATGGTGACCCCGTGCACAGTGGAATGAAATACCACCTGGTCATAATTGGTTGAGGATTGGACTGTTGTGATCTGTACGGTTTTCACTGGCTGATTTTCAGGGGTAGATTGCCAAGATTGTCTTCCTAGTCTGTCTTAGTCTGGAAACTCTACTGAAACCTGTTCACCATCATAACAACACACAATCCTTCACTGACAGATGAGGAATAGAACCTGGGTCTCCTGCATGGAAGGTGAGAATTCTGCCACGGCACCATGAACACCCCATCAGCTATGCAGGTTATCTTCTTTATGAAGCTGAAGGAACTTACCCAGGGTCACATACCTGGTAAATGAGAGCTATGACCAAAACCTGGGTCTCCCCACGTTATTCCAGTACAATTTCTGCTATATCTTTTTCTGTAGGAGCATTTGAGAATTAGGTGGGTCTACTTTCAGATTTTGTAGCTCTTATCAAAGGGCAACTGAACATATGTGTACAGTAAGAATAGCCCATAAGTTAACAGAGAGCTGATTCATTGAAATTCTTGATATATTGAGTTGCTTTGAATTGACTGGTGTTAATGTTGGAATGAGTCCTAATTTTATGGTTAGAGCTTCTAATTCTTCCCACATCTAGAATGTTCTTTTGCAAAATGTCAGGTAATGAGTTTTTCTAGTATTAATTATGCAGAAATTAAAATTTTGGGGTTCAGTGATTATTGTTTATTAGTTGGGCCTGTAGGGGACATGGTAATGAATAAGGTGTGGTTCACCTTATTATGAGTCTTAAGGAACTTATTTATTTTGACTTGTAGTTGAGACAGACATCTATGGAAAAAACTGGAATATGAGGAATAATTTGAGGGTACAAACAAATACATAAGTGCAGAGTAAAAATTTGACTGAGTTTCTAGTTGAAATGAAATACAGTTGTCTTGAATTTTCCCTCCTCCCTGTTAATAATGTTGTTACTGTTGTTAGGTGCTGTCAAGTCACCTCCGACTCATAGTGACCCTATGCACAACAGAACGAAACACTGTCCAGTCCTGTGCCAGCCTCACCATGTGTAGTTTTCCAGTAACATATCAGTGTTTCACTGCTATTCATAAGGTTTTCATTGGCCAATTCTTTGAGAAGTAGATGGCCCCTTCCTTCTGAGTCTTTCTTAGTCTGGAAGCTCCACTGAAACCTGTTCACCATAGATGACCCTGGGTATTTGAAATACTGGTGGCATAGCCTCCAACCTCATGACAACACACAGCTACCACAGTACAACAAACTGACAGACAAGTGGTGGCCTCTTTATGTTGTTGTTGTTGTTGTTATGTGCCATCGAGTCAGCCCCGACTCATAGCGACCCCTCCTTGGGTTTCCGAGGCAGTATCACTATGGAAGTAGATTGCCCTATCTTCCTTTTGAGGAGTGGCTGGTGGGTTTGAACTGCCAGGCTTCTGGTTAGCAGTCAAGTGCCTTAGCCGCTATGCTACCAGAGCTCCTGGCCTCTTCATAGAAAACTTAATTCTGTCTATCCTGCCTCTGCCTTCTCTGTTTCTTTTAGTGAACATGTACATTGCCTAGTGATTTATGTTCAGGTGATACATTTAAGAAAAAAATATTAAGCTAATTCATGCATAGTTAGGAAGCGCCTCAGAAATACCAAACTATAAAATAATTGTAAATGCTTTTTACATTCTTTTCTGAATTACCTTACTGACTGCTTCTCTGTATTAGCACAGATTATTGAGAATTAATAAATCTTTTAAGATTTATTTTTTTAAGTCTTTATATTTTGTTATTTTAACATCAGTGGAGTTTTGGACCTGACATTTTGCTGAACAATCTTTTGCATGATAACGGTGAATTTTGCTAAGGGCTGTTTTATGCTTTAGGGTAAGAATTTATAATCAGACCCCTATAATCCTTGGGTAGAGGAGAGGTATGCAAAGATGGAAAACAGACACACATGAATAACTGTTGTAGGAAAAAGAAAAAAAAGGACTACAAAGAAGATATAGCAATATTATATGAAGCGCTGGTTGGAGGGTATGTAAAATAGACAGTTCTTTCCCTTGGGAAGAGGGTTGGAGTGCAAGGAAGGTAAAAAGATTTCATGGAAGATAGCATTTGACTTTGAAGGGTGAGTGGTATTTGAACAAAGTAGGTTTAGCATTTCATACTGAAGTCATCATAAAGGCATGGGCAGAATAGGTTATTGTCGCATGTAGCAGGAGGAAGAAGTTCTGTTGAGGGTTGTTTCGTGGCTTTAGACAAGATATATTCAGAATGTGCTTTTTTGAAAAAAACTATATTGTGGTACCTTTGGATTTTCCTTACATTTAAAAGAACACTTACCTTCTCTCTGAACATAGGAGAACCTTTCACAAACATGTTTTAAGTAATTATGGCTCTTGAATATCGAGGTATTAAAAAAAAAAGGAAAATATGTTTGAAAGATGAGCATTTTGATTAAGAAAAGTTAATTTTAAATTCTTTTGTATTTTATCACTTAACACTTCCCCTTTTATGAACTACGTGCCTCAACTACACTAATGTTTTTGTAGGAGCTCTGGGGGGTCGCTATGAGTCGGATCCGGCTTGACGGCACATGACAACAACAACGTTTTTGGAATACCCATATACATTTTCTTACCTCTAGTCTTTGGCACCTATTCTTTCCCCTGCCGGGAACATCATCCTCATGTCTTGTCAACTGCTTATTTCCTCATGCTTCAGAACAACTTCGACATTAGCTCCTGTGGAAAGGCTTTCTTGATCCTCCACAGCTGTTTGATAGCCTGAACATGTGCTCCTCTCTCTCATGATGCTTACCCACCCTGACAGCTCTTGTCCTCTTTATTGGACTTGTTTGTTTACATGTCTCTCTCACCAAACTGTACATGCACTCTTTGGGGCTGGATCTGAATTTCCTGTTGAATCCCTGGCTCCTAGTAGAGATCTGGTTAATAAAAAAACACAATAAATATTAGTTGAGTGAGTGAAACTACCTTTACATTTCTGCGAAATCATATGCTGATATTTATGAAATCCTTTATACTGTTTTTACTGTCTTTGCAGATGGAGTTTTATATTGTGTTTGTCATAAATCTACATATTCTTCTCTTCCAGATGATTATAATTGGTATGTATTAAAATTCAATTGAATTTGAATTTCTGTTAGCTGTATCTGAAATGATTTGATTTCTATTTTGGTGTTTGTGCTTTCTTTTCTGATTATCTTTTCTTTAAATTTTGTTTTTAAAAATTACTGCAATGATATTATTTACCCAGTATCTGGATTTATTTGCATTTTAAGCGAAAATCATTATTATTGTATTTCAACGAATACTTTATTTGTTGTGAGAAAGACATACTGTTAGAAATGCTATCTTTTCTTCCCAAAGCATGCTTTAGTTTTCATGGAAAAGTTACTTAGTTTTTTGAGGCTAATAGGGCAAGATAGCAGACTAGGCAGAAAGACTGCACAGACCCTCTTCAACAAAGAAAAGGGAAACCAATTAACACAGATACAGAAGATAATCCTGGCCCTCTGAGCCTTGAAGGGAAGGATATAGAAGTGGACTAAACCCCAACTAGCAGAAGAATTTGTGTGAAAATACCAAAAAAGGAGACATATGGAGCTGTGGTCTGACAGCGATCCTGATGGCACAGACAGCTTGGAGATTCCCGAGTGGTGGTAGGACCTAAGAATTAACATAAAAATCAGCCCTGCTAGCCAGGGACTGCATGGAGCACTGCTCTGGTGCCCGTGGAATAAACGGAGAGGGTGAAGAGAAAGGTGGGCTGTGCTGTGGACTTTTGCCAGTCTGGAGGACGCCACCATTTTGAAGGTTTAAAAAGCAGCTTGACTATTTTGGATATTTAAAGAGACAGCGTTCTCGCAGATTCCTGGGGCTTAAGAACATGTTCTGCTTTCCAGCAACCCCAAGGACACTCGGGACCTGCAAGACTGAAAAGGTGCGACATTCCTCTTGTTACTCTTATACCCCACACCCGCTTGGTGAACGGAGGTGCGGCCATCCCCCACTCCCACCTACCTTCTGGGCTGCCCGCAGGAACTCCATCACAGTCTGTGTGCTCAGACAGCCTGGGTGCCCTGCTCTGTCCTCCACAGGTTTTTTTTTTTCTCTCTTTTTTTATTTTTATTTTTTTCTTTTTCATGTGATTAGTTTGCTTGTATTTGTCTGTTTTAAAACAACTATTATTAATATTTTTGTCCTTTTTACTATTATTCTTAATCTTCCCCTCCCAGGTCTTAGTTTTCAGCATTTTTTCTTCTCCTTGTTCCTGGTTGAAACTTTTTTTTTTAATTTAAGGTTTTTTTTTTTTCTTTTTCCCCTTTTTTCTCATGGTTAACCCCGTTCCATTTTTTTCTTTTTGCATTTTTCCCATTTTTTTCCCTTCATTATTCTCCTTCTCTACTATTTTTCTCTTAATGCCCTATCCCCAGATATTGCAGGTTTTCTTGTTTTATCTTCTTCTTTTTCCCTTTTTTGGTTACTGTTTCTGTGTGATTACATGGCATGTTTTTTGTCCATGTGCTTTTAGTTTTTTGAAGGTTCTTCAATTGTAATCTGTGTCTAATTGAGTGGGAGACAAAAACAGTACCCATAAGACACAACTACACCCACACCTCCTGCAACTTCACTTACTGAACAAGAACCCTACTTCCTTCTCCACCAACGGGCCAATGATAAAAAAACACCAAGAAGAGCCGGAATCACCCTGGACTGCTCGTCACAAACAGTTAATAAAGATCTAAATACAGCAACGCCACGATGCCTCGGAGACAACAGATGATCACAATCCACACCACGAAGCAGGATAAAGTGGTAGAAACAAGGGAGCAGGATACAGACCCAGAACACATCCCTGAGGAAGAAGCAGCATTGGAACTCTCCGATAAGGAATTCAAAAGAATTATCTTTAGGTATCTTCAAAGGATTGAGAGACAGACCAAAGAAAACACAGAAAAAAACTTAC